GACAATGGATATAAGATAGAGGGAAATACATTCAAACTGGTTTGAATAATCTGGAAAAGAAAAATTTAAACCAAAACAAAAATACTTTGAACTCAGCTGATAGTTGGCAGGGAGTCTTATATAGTCAACTATCAAATCAACAGAATGATCAATCCTAATGCAGGCAAGTGCAGAAAACCCAGTTTTCACTACCACACAAAAAGAACAAAGAAAAATTGATGTGTAACTGATATTAATATAGAGCATTAATTGTCATGGGGTGTTTAATAAAGAGATGTATTTAAAAGACTTGAAGCATTTATCACTACATCATGGTTAAGTCTGTGCCAGATCAGTGGCCTGTACATAAAGCTGGAGCTTATCCAAGTTTCTGTAGCATGAAGTGACTAGGAGTGTTTCTACTCCCCCATGGATGAGATGCTAGTCCAACGCAGGGTTGTGCCATGCAGCATTATATTTACTGGCAATTATTTATCCAACTGGGAGGAGAGAGGCACTGTAAGTTATCTAGTGTAAAGTATCTTGCCCGAGAACACATGCAGCACAATGATCCTGACCAGGGCTCTTACTCAGACCTATCAATCTGATGTACAGTACGCTAACAAATACGCCACCATGCCTCAATTCATTATAGAGTGAGGATTTAAAGGACAATATTTTATGGCAACCCAAGGGCTTTGACAACCTTGAACTAGGAATCTTTTCTAACGACCTACAGTCTTTAGTGGAAAAAGCACATTTAATATTTTACCTGAATCAACAAACTGCTCCAGTGCTTTCTCAGATATATTTTTTCCTTGCTGAGCAAGAGCAGTTAAAGCTAATGCTTTGTACAGACCATCTCTAGAAACATACCCATCTTGCCTGGGATCTACAGCTTCCCAAATCTGTCAAAAAGAAAAAAAAATCATCACACAGAATTAATTCTGAAACATTTTGCACTTCTACTGTGGGTAATCAGTATATGAAATAGATTATTTACCCAAAACTTTGCACTGGAGTTCACTACTATGATTGATAACAAATTGATCTCTGGCCTTTACTGCCTATTACTTCATGGCTTGCTTGCTACCTCCAAGATATGTTAACAGGGCTGTACACCAGGCACATAGAAAAGATATCACCTACTCAAGTTACCGAATGAACTTCTGCAATAATAATACCAATTATTATATGGCTAGCTCTGTAACCAAAACAAGATGAACCAAATCCTATGCTGTGATTGGTTACTTAAAGGCATGATGGGCTATCTTACTTACTAGGGATTACCTGCTATATCCCGCAAGAAAATTGTCTTGTCTAGTTACGGAAATAGAAAACATTTTTTGAGTTTTCATTGGGTTTTTAACACAAGTGAACCCTTTGGAGAATGCTTTGGGATGCTTGACACCTTTTTGAGTTCTCCCAAATTTGCACAAATATTTTATTTAAGAAATAGAAAACATGTACCATGTTTCTTTCGAGTTATAGAAACACAAGTGGAAGTTTAAGAGATCAAGAAATGCTGTGGGAACACGAGCTGCAGGCGAGTGTTTCTACAGCTTTTTCAAGTTCTCCCAAACTCTCATGAGTGTTTCTATTTAACAATTAGATTGTGAGCTTGAGATTTCTAAGAGGTGATAGTTGATGAGGCCGAAGGCCGAATCAACTATCACCTCATAGAAATCGTAGAAATCGTAGTTAGTAGAATTCTAACTGGACTTTCCTTCAAATAATGATTCCAATTATTTCTGGTCCGAGCATTAAACTTCACGCTTTAGAGAATTCGTGCAGACTGAATTGTCATTTTGGCATTCACAGTTGCGTACGCGCTTATCAGTTTCTTTCAAAAATTTTTGAGCTTTTTTAATTCAAGAAACCGTAAATACCCTCCTTTTAGTCTTCTCAGGACTTTGACTATCCATTTATTTCGAAATGTTCATTCAAAACTTTGGAGAAACAAGGAAACAACATTGCAATTTTGTCAACCACACCAAGCCACTGCACACTAATAGCTGATAGTGTGCTATGGCTCAGCCAATCAGATAGCAGCATTTGCATTAGTGTACCAGTAGAATTCTACTAAAACGCAATAGAAATACAGAGAACATATTTTCTATTTCTTTTAAAAAACACAGCAAAAAAGAAAAGGAAAAAAAAATTATTAACTTTGATTATCAAAGTGTAAATTCTCTTTGCTTGCACCATCATTACACTAACAGCTCATGCTAGTTCTGTGTTTCTATTGAGTTACAGAAACATGATTTTTAACCAATCAGCATGTGCATTTTCTTAGGAATGTTTTCTAAAACTCGATGGAAACTGAGAAAAAATGTTTTCTCTTCCTTTTAGAAAACATTGTATGAAACAGAATGGAAAATCTTTTCTATATTTTTCTTTTTTAATTAAAAGGTAAATTCTCATAAATTACTTCGGCCATCATTAGGTCAACAACTTGTGCTAGTTCTGTTGCTACGGAATTATAGAAGTACAGCTTTTAGCATGTGCTTTCTTACAGGGTGTCCCACGCAACAAATCCTTTATTGACCAAGTTTGTTCAGTCAAGATGGCTGGATATTGGCCTTGTTTTAAGTACAGTGACAGACCTTGACTGTGTCTTGCTCTATAGACACACACAAATAGGTGCTTGGCAGATATATGGCCATCTTGACCTCACACTTGGTCAATGACCCATATGTATTCAGAATCAGACAAGCATCTTGGGAACCATTCCCCCTCCCCCATCCCCCACCCCGCCTCCCGACAGGACCCTAGTCCTTTGCTAGCTCAGTCCAGCACCTCTTTCAGACCTGTATTTTCATTGGTTCTGGTAACCTGTAGCTGCTATATTTGTTTCCAGAGATAGGGACATTGTTTGGATCATTTACATATTGTTTCATGAGCCAATAACAATCGTGTTTGGACAGCTAGAGGCCTGCCCCAGTTAGAGATCAATACGACACTTTTATTGACACCACTGACTGCTGATAACTTACCCAGGGATTACACCTGGTTCAACACAGGTATACTGAAACCACAACGTACAAGAACAGAAAAATATTTACAGTAAGCTTACAAGGAAATTATAAGATTACAGTATACATTTACAAGAATTATAATTACCAGACGTTAGAAATGGTTGATTCACCAAATTGATAACTCTTCAACAAAACAATAACCTCAAATAGTATTTATTTAGCATAAGTCCATACTTAGGTTAAATGGCTGAATTATTAACAAGATTTGCCTCGTGCTGAGCTATTTCAATAGTGAATAGTGATGAAAGAAGACAGGAAGTGTAATGATACAAAGAAGAATAAACAAAGAGGAACCTCTCACTATGAGTGGTTAGAGATCAAATAACGACTGATTTAATAGCCTCTGAACCTGATAAGGAAGGTGGTTAAGCTTATTAAACATGACTTCGGATTGATAATGAGCCATTTAAATTGGTACAATTTTCGTACACTGCTAGTTGTGTGCATTTGGTATTTGGTAATTAATCATTGCCTTTCTTACGAAAACAAATAACGAGCGAACAAATAAACTACCTAACGTCTAGTAACCCACCTGACTGAGCGATTGTTTGGGAAGGCTCGATTTCACCAAGATCTTCACGAACATGTCTCGTTCAATCTTCTCCTCTTGATTTGGACATACGATCTGATACACCTCGCGGTAGAACGCGGGAACAGAACCTGCAGATTCAACAAGACAAATTTTAAGCAAATACTCCCAAAATAAGGCTCTCATTGCAAACTGAAACTTTCCATTACAATCCACGTGAAAGAGTTCAAAACGAATGTAACACATAACTACTTACCAAAGCTCAGTGCAGCCGCCATATCCCTCAAGTATCGAACATGCAATGCGCGCCTCCCCCTTCGGTCACGTGCTCAGTATTCAAGATGGCGGACGAAGTGCTCGAGGCTGATATTGCCTGTTTGGATCATTATGACTATTTTTTTCGTCCTGATCTTCTCTCTGGGAAGGTAGCGTTCATCACTGGAGGTGGATCGGGTATTGGTTTTACCATAGCTGAAGTTTTTATGAGGTATGTGGCTGAGTGATGTTCAAACCACCTTGCATAAACCCAGATAGACCTGCGTAGGGTTACGCACTCAGCTGTTCAGGTCTTGGATCTAAATTTTAAGTACAGTGCTTTATATGGTTCCAATGCAAACGAAAAACGTATGGCTCAAAGAACGCATATATTTTGCATTGGTTGCAGGACTCCAAGGAATGATAATCAGTTTTTTTTCTGTTTTACAGCACAGTGTTGCATTAAGGGTGTGTCAACCCCCTTACTAGCAGGGGGAGTATGCAAACGTAGTGTTTGTGTTGGCAGAGTCATAATTTTATGAACCTGAGCTGGAGACATCATTTTACTAAAGCCTCCGACAGCACAGGTACTCTTCAGACTTGGCACAAGGAAAGATAATTTATGTGGCAAGCCCCAAGAGCATCTGTGTAGGAGCTAGGTTATCTTAAAACCAATGGTTACCAAAGAAATGCAGATTTATATGTAATTGGACACAACTGTCAGTGCTCCCTTATGTGTAGGTGATCAGTCAGCCCAAAATGCAGACCATGCAAACCATGCAGACTGCAGACTGTGCAGACTGTGCAGACTGAGTGCTTTTTTTTTCTTATTCTTGTTTTCGCATTTACTTTTGACTCGCATTTTTTGGGTTCTAGTCACAAGTTGGAGTGTTTGTTATTTACAAGCATGCTGCACAAGCTCGGTATGTGACTGTTGATTCAACAGATGAAGGTGTTATAGACTTTGTAAGGGAAACTCCCTTTAGTCCTAAATACGTTTAAGTAAAGCTATATATTTCACCACACAGAAATAAACTTAACTTGCAATGTAGGGTGGCATGTAACATGTCCATGTTCTACTCTTGGTGTACAAAATGTAATTCCAAACAGCCCTTGGAGCATGACTGTGATCATGCCAAGAAAGCTGAGCATATGGAAGCATCACAGAAATCCAAATATAATTTGAAATTCTCAGCGCAAAACGGTTGCTGTAATACCATGGTTAATGTATTTGGCCTTATGGCAGGGGTGTTTTTATGGCGATTTAGCCCAGGAGTAGTTCCTCTTTCTCTTGGTCCGTCATGCATGACGTAAAAGAAAACCTTGAGGAAAAAATTCGTTTGCGCATTTTTTTCTTCGAGGGCTATTTACGGTCACGCTCAATGGACTAAGTGAAAAGAGGGAATACTTGTAGTCTAATGGCGATTCTATACGCTGCTTTTTGATGCGAAAGTGATTTGTTGGAGGGCGTTGCTTCCAGTCACCGTCCTTGCTTTGCTTTATAAATCACTGATTTTGTGTGGTCTGTGGATAAATAGTAAACTGTCAGATATATATTTGAACAATATTTTGTATCTAGAACCGAAAAAATGTGAGTCAAGTGTTTGAAAAAAAAAGTACTTGATCTGCACAGTCTGCATGGTCTGCGCAGTCTGCAGTCTGAAGTCTGCATGGTCTGCGTTTTGGGGTGACCAGAAAATTTACCTTTAATGGGTATAATTAAATATATAAATTCGTGATTGTAACTGCATGCATGGGCAGCTGAGTGGAAGACAACACTGTCACTTGGGAATAGACCATTTTACAGTTGTCTGCTCAGTGACCTGGCCTTTAGATGGCAGCGAGACTGAAGTTGACCTTGTTTTGATGCAGACCTCACTGCTTTTGTGATGTAAATGCACCTAGTTAGCATCAGAACAACTTGTTTTACTCAACAAAAGCAGTGAGGTCTGTATCAAAACAAGGTCAACTCCAGCCTCGCTGCCATCCAAAGGCCAGGTCACTGGGCAGACAACTGTAAAATGGTCTATTTACACAGAAATGAAGAAACAATAGTGAATGATAATTTTGATCCATGCAATTTAGCCAAATGCAACTCCATCAAATGCATACAACTTGTACCCTTCAATAAAAATAATTCATGTGGTACAAATTAAGGAGTAATCATTCCAGGAATTGAGTCAGAATTGTCAATTTGAAAAAAAAGCCTTACTCTATGCACTTTACCAATTTTGAAATTTGCAAGTGAGTAGCCTGTAAATTAACACTCGACTGACTTTCACGGTTAGAATGAGATTTCTTTTATTTAATATTTTTTGTTAGACACCAGTGCTCAACTGTGATAGTGGGCCGGAAATTTGAAAGACTTAAAAAGGTACCATTATCCTAACAGGTGCTTTGAATGGTGCAGAGTGAGTTGTGGAGGATTATTTATTTACATGTTATATAGTCATGAGAATATTTCAGGTTATTTACCATTTTTGCCACAATTCTGTAAATTTTGGTAAGAATGGTAAATGGTAAGACAATTTTGCCTGGACCAACCAGAGATAAAAGGAACTTCTTGAAAGGTAGTCCAAAATTCCCAACCAAAATATCCGATTGGCAAACATGCATACCATTTGCAATTCTTCACCAGTTTCAGCTACCATGTTGGAATTACAATCAGGCTGAACTCATCCTAGGCTCTCACAGTAAATTAGCGACACATTTAACCACCTTAGATTTTTGCTTGCCATTTGCACAACCTCTGTTTATCCTATTTACTTGACATAATATCTGGTTTACCACTTCAGGCAGCCAAGAAGCTAGAGGATTTGACAGGACAGAAATGTCTTCCTGTGAAGATGGATGTAAGAAAGGTACAATGCTTGATTTGCTATAGAACACTCATCGTCATTGTCCCAGGTGGGAAATAAGGCCATCACGACATTACTTCTCGACTTCCTGTGGTCCCTGGCAATCTTTTCAGCCTCCACCCATCAAGCCAAGCTCTTCAAGGTCTGCTGTCACAACTCTCCATCAGGTGGTCTTTGGCCTTTCTCTGAGCTGCTTGCCTTGAGGGGTCCACTTGAGGGAAACCTTAGGGATATTTTGTTTGAGAAAAGTGCATTTTCTCTTTCCAAAATTAGAAACCAAGGATGTCTGTTATGTTAAGTTTCTTTTTAATTCTTTTGTTGCAGTTTTTTTACACTTCATGAGGCTGATATTCAATTGGTTTATTTCCTTTTGTTAACATGCATATAGAAGTGCATACTAGGAGTTTCATGATTCCTTCTTGTTGCTTAGCATTTATTGTCACTTAAGTGTTCTCTGTAGGCACTGGTGACTTGTGAAAATCATCGTCTACTAGCCTTGAGTGTGTCAGCTACTCTTGAGATACATGTAAATATCAATGATAAATTTTCTGAAGAAAAAAAATGTAAAACAATTGTGAAGTTTTATTTGTTTTCATACCTATTAATTGCCACTTCAGTCTGAAAACCATTTTAATTCACAGCTGAAAACTTAAAAACAAAGCGAAAATTGTGACTTAGCTGCTAAAAGGTCGGCAGTTTACGCCTCATTTAAGACTACCTGACATGTCTATCTTACAAAGTGCTTTTCTCACTGTGGCAACCCAGATTTCTTGATACACTTGTAGTTATGGTGTTCAGGTATTATAATTAATTTCTAGAGAAATGATGATTTTTGTATCAAAAAATGCTTCATGATAAGTTAATAAAGATGGTGAATTTTAAGCTCGGTAATGAAATGTGAAGGTGAATTAATCAACATGACACGAGCGTGGGACAAAGAAAAATTC